GAGAAATTTTATGGAAACCCATCCTTGTCGTTCATGTTGTTATTTTTTTAAAAGTAAAATTATTTCACTTTTTAAAATTATTTTTATAATTATGCCCTAAAAAAGGGGGGGGGGGGATAATAAAGTTCTAGAAATTATATATCTGGGGTTTTGTTTGGGGGTGCGAATATGCAAATGACATTTTTTTTGTTTTGAAAAAAAAGAAAAATATCGCGTAAAAACTATCAGTTTTGAACGATAATTTATGAGGGAAAACCCAAGGAAATGTTTTTTTTTTTGGTGGGGTTTGTTGGGGTCATGAAAAGCGGGTGTCCAGGTTTTCGAAAGAATGAACCCCAAGGGAATTGAACCCGCTTTCGTCAGAAGTAAAAAGGGGTTTGCGGCTACTTCGACGTCATTTGGGGTTGGGGTAAGGGGCCCAAAAGCGAGACCCATTTTGGATTTCAAAAACCCACCACTACTTGACACACCCCACCCTACCCCCAACCCATGTTCTATAAAATGGCGCTGTTTGAGTGTAGAAAGCTCCACGGTAGGTTGGAGACCAGCGAGCCGCCGGTCTATATTTTTGGTATTCCTGGTGAAGCTTTCCAAATTTCGTCAGATTTTGCGAAATGGGTTCGATTTTTTTGAGTTTTGGAAGACAAACTGTTTATTAGGATCCACTTTTCGGTGCGGATTTGCCTCTCTCCAAAAAATTGGGCTAAAGGTACGCTTTTTTTCGTCCAAAAAAGGGTCATCCCTTTGTTTTGGGATGTATGAGACATGCCCCGACCTCTACGTCTTCAACATCACTTCATATCACTTTGCCCTATTTAAGACCTTGAGTTCGCAGATGAGGATGTCTTTTCAGTATGGGGGCCCTGGACGGTGGGGTTATCACTTGGACCGCGACTATTTGTTCACGGGAGAGTATGCCCGCACAATGTTTGTGAGAACGATCGGATGTATTCCGGATTTGCAAAGTTCCGTTCGGATGTCCATCGGAAGCGAGCGAGAACTATAATCCATCCTCATCATGAACTCTGTCTAAAGCGGAAACGATTTATTCATCTGGATGGGATTTGTGGTGCCGATGCTGACAGCATGTGGATGACATACATGGTTTATGGATGTTAATAATGAATTATTGAGCTTTCATTATGTTCTGTTAGGGTTTGAATTATTTTTCTTGGTAGGAATTCCAGGG